AAAATAAATTTCTTCAAAGGTATTTTGAATCTGAAAAGGGCAGCAGACCGTTTCATTTTCAGTTTCAGTTTCACCAGTTGTTTGCTTTGTTGCTGCCGAGCGTCTGCAGGAGTCATGAGCGGGGTGCGGGGGGTTGGGGGTGAGGAGGTGTGCTCTGTGATGAGGAAGCTCAGCTTGGAGACACAGCCCAGAGGAGGAGCTGATACCAACTAATCGTTTTTGCTCCCCTGCCTGCTGCCTCAGGACAGCGCAGGCTTTCTCAAACATGCATGAATGAGTCAAAGTAAGACTCTGGGCATGTTTTTAATAAGAGAATAACCTTATTACATGATATAAAACTCTAAAAAGTTGATTTTAAATGATATAGCCCTTTTAAAAAAATACCTTTATACACCAAGCTGTATTAGAAGAGCCAATAACCCATTATTTTATGGAAATAACTGTTTAATGCAAAATGGATGGCAATGAAAAAGTATGTAAATTAGTGTTTCCATGAGCTGCTATGAAATTTTAGAGTTTGGAGTTTTAAGACAGGTCAGTCAGCTTGTCAGTCTGGTTGGAATTGAACTCCACTTCTCCAAGCTGATTTATCTACAACATCTACTGATTGCTCATAATCTTTCCATGGAATCCCACTTAATAAATTCTGAATTATTTCTTTAAGAAAGTGAATTTAATTTGGAAATAAAGTAAACTTCTTGAAAAATCCTATTCCGTTTCCTCCTGGCAGTGTTCAAGCAGGAAAGTGTTCACTTTTGTGAAAAACAGATGTCATTACTCTGTTTAAAATATGAACACAAGTTTATGGATTTCATCAATTGCTGTTGAAAGGTTAAATAAAAAAGCTGCAACAGTGATTAAACTGGGTAACTGTTCTGTCAGGTTTTACGACCAGCTGTCTGCTGTCCTTTCTGAAGTCCTCCATCAGCCCGTGAACAAGGAGAAGAATCAGTTCAAAATGTTGAGCAGCTGAGATTCTGCTCGTCCACGTGTCCTGAAGAAGACGCCAACCTAAAATTGCTCCCTGTTTTATTTTTATCCACAATGATTCAGTGGGTGTTAGCCGAGTACGACTGCATGATTGACTTTTTTTAAAACGTGGTGCGGAACTGAGGGGTAAAACCTGCCTGTTTGTCCTCAGTAAGACATAAAACCGGTCCAAGTATTTGATCATACACACACGCAGCGCCACCTCTTTCCATCTGTCTCCCTCTCACTTTCTGTTTGCACATCACACTTTTAGCCTGCGAGCTCACTTTCCAAGAAGCCCATGTTTTTTTAACTGTTGGCTGTCAAAATGCCAACATGCTGAAGAGTTTTTTATATAT